AAGCCATCATTCTAAAATACATCCTTCAAACCAAGATTTTTGTGTAGCATTCTTGTCAACCCAAGAGAACCGATTTGGCCCTGCCTTTCTCCAGGAAGCTTTCCACTCAGCATCCAATGCTTTCTTCTTAACTTGCCAGTCTAGCCCTTGTAGCCTTTCATCAAGAGATAACTAGGCCCTCTTAGCAAAGCCTGTGAGGAAGTGAGCAATCTAAATCTCTTTCCCCGCCATTTAGCTTCATACCACTGAAGGAGATAAGTATCTCTCAGGCCAAGAGGTGGAGAAGTCAGGGACCTGCCCTGGTTTTTTTTTTTTTTTTATGGTTCACAGGATTATTGCAAAAACTCATGGAAAGTAATGAGTTCATGTCTTCTGGCCTCCTGCTCTACCGCAGTTCCTAGAGTGCAAAGTGAGAGATGAAAACCAGGTGTGTGTGTGTGTGTGTGTGTGTGTGTGTGTGTGTGTGTGTGTGTGTGTGTAGGAGATGGGCAGGGAAAATGGCTGGAAAGCATACAATCGCCTTTTTCCTCAGAGCCTGAAGACCTGGCTCTGCCAACTGGAGACCCAATGGGACAATTTAGGAATAGGGGTAGAATAGAACAGAATATAGAATAGAATAGAATAATAATAACAACCTTTATTGTCATTGTACATATATACAACAAAATTGATTTTGCTCCTGCTAGCGCTATCCATAATAAAAATACAATGCAACATAAATAATATAGAAAATGGTCCTATAGAATAGAGTGAAGAATGTATCTTTTCTTTTTATGTACACTGAGAGCTTGTGCACCAAAGACAAATTCCTTGTGTGTCCAATCACACTTGGCCAATAAAGAATCATATTCTATTCTATTCTATTCTATTCTATTCTATTCTATTCTATTCTATTCTATTCTATTCTATTCTATTCTAATTGCAGAGTAGAGTAAATAGAATAGAAATAGGAATAGAATAGAATAGAATAGAATAGAATAGAATAGAACAGAACAGAATAGAATAGAATAGAATAGAATAGATGGAGGGGACCTTGGAGATCTTCTAGTCCAACCCCCTGCTCAGGCAGGAATCCCCATACCATTTCAGACAAATCGTTGTCCAATTTCTTCTTAAAAGCTTCCAGTGTTGGAGCATTCACAACTTCTGGAGGCAAGTTGATTAATTGTCCTCACTGTCAGGAAATTTCTCCTTAGTTCTAGGTTGCTTCTCTCCTTGATTAGTTTCCATCCATTGTTTCTTGTCCTGCCCTCAGATGCTTGGAGGATAGATGGACAAGGAATGCAGGAGGTTAGCTTTAATTCCTGCTTGCAGTATTCCTTGGAAAACATTCTGATGGGCTTTTCCAGGAAGTTAAAGAAAGGGGATAGTTGAACTTGTTCTTTAATTTCCCTCAGATTACTGTAATTGCATTAAGAAAAACTATAATTTCATTCAGTGACATAATTGTCATTAATTCACCAGGAACTCTTGATAGAAGGGATAATTATTTGGGAGGTGGGGGAGTCCTAAGCAACATGTGCAGTGAAGCACAATTCCTCACAACAGCCATTCAATGTTTAAAACCAACCTTTATATTGCATTGTATGTTCTGCAATAGTAGATACTGGCTCCATAAAGCAGGATAAACCTTTCTAGGATAAGATTCTCCAGACTGTTTGTAAACATATTTTTTTTTTATGTCATCATAAGATTGGTCTCAAAAAGGTAGCTTGAAAGTTTATATTTGTATATGACTTATATTATATGCACTGATGAAGTTACCTAGTGAGGTAACGAAACGTCTGCAAGAAAACAACCAAGCTCAGAAAGCACCAAAGACTCCACAGACTTCCTCCTCTTCCTCTCTGCATACCCCACTGCCTTCTAACCCTGATGGTGTTACCTTGTGTGGTAACGAAACATCTGCAAGAAAACAACCAAGCTCAGAAAGCACCAAGGACCCCATGGTTCACCCAGATATCCCTCAATTTTCAACCATTCGTTCAGCATCCCTTCAAAGTTACAGTGGCCTTGAAAAGAAAATGACTTAGAACTTGGACTCAAATTTACCATTTCAGTACCCCCACAGTCACATGATCAACATTCAGGTGTTTAACAATTGCAATATATACATAATAATTGGCTCCTCGACTTACAACAAACATTCGTTCAAACTTACAATGGAATTGAAAAAAAAAGGGGGTCTTATGGCCATTTTTCACACTTATGACCGTTGCAGCATCCCCATGGATTTATGTTCAGATACTTGATAACTGACACACATTTATGGATTATCAAACTTTGGAGGTTTTCAAGAAAAGAGTCCCTTTATTTGCTCCAGCTTTGACCCCAATGTCCTGGTTACCTTCTGGCTGGAGAAAAACTCTCCCAGGAACAGCCTTTGGCTGCAGAGAATCAAGTCCAAAAAATGGTCAACACAAACTGTAACTATAAGTCCAATCAAGGCAAGGTAATTTGTCTGGCAGGGCAAGAGAAGGAATTTCAGACATGAAGACATGGCAGTAAATCAGCCAGGTTGGGAGGATTCCAGGAATGCAGATAAGCACAATCAACACAAGATAACTCACATTTGCTCCCAGAAACTGCCACACTCAGCATGCATCTCTTTTAAATTCTCATTCCCAGCTGTGGCTAATGAAGGGAATCAGGGCCCTTTCCTCCCGCATAAGCCACGCAACCCACATTGCTCTCTTCTCCATTGCACCCTGCGTGCTCTAGGATGAAGGGGGGGTGGGCTTGGGTCTTCCTCTAAACTGTGTGATGACCCAGGTCATGGCACAAAGGCAACACAGTCAAATAAGCAAGAAGAGTCCCTTTATTATCTCCAACTTTGCCCCCATTGTCCAAGTTACCTTCGTCTGGAGAAAATTCAGTCCAAAACGAAATACATACAGACTGCAAATAAACCAAGCTGCAGTAATTAACTTGACAGGGCAGGAGAAGGAATTTCAAACTTGAAAGCACGGCAAAACTCATACAGTTGGGAAGACGCAGGAACACAGATAAGCCACGAAGAGACCAGATCAACTCACAATTTGCTCCCAACAGTTTGCTGTGCGCAGCTTCCCTTTTTAAACATTGTGTTCCCAGCTGCAGCTAATGAAGGGAATCAGGGCCCTTTCCTCCCCCGTAAGTCACGCAACCCACGTTGCTCCCTTCTCCATTCCTCCCTGCATGCCCTAGGATGAAGAGGGGGTGGGCCTGGGTCTTCCTCTGAACTGCTTCCCTCTTATTCTACCTCTCTCCTGCTCTGCCCAGCCAGACTTTGCCCTTCCCCAGTTTCCTCATTCCCACTCCCTGTCAGCAGTTTGTCTTCCTCCTCAGATTTAGACTCCGACAGGGGCATGACAGTCTCCTGGTTGAGGCGGGGATTGGACTAGAAGACCTCCAAGGTCCCTTCCAGCTCTGTTCTTCTATTTTTCTGAAGTATAATCTCTCAACACAGCTACTGTATAAACTGTAGTTCCAGAGAGTATAATTTGGAAGATAAAAGAAATCCAGAGATGTTCCTATGGGTGGTTATTTGGCTTGCGGTAGCTAAGGGAAATAAGGGTTTGAGAACTCGAAGTGTTTCACTGTCCAGCCAAGTCTTCACAGGGTTGGCCCAAGGCTTACCTAGAACTCTGTTTTAAAGAGATGGGCAATTCATTTCAAAAAGAGAGATTTGATACAATTGCTTTATTCCATCAGCCAGTTATTGCTTGCTCCGACAAGCTCCGCGAGATCATTTAATTAGAAATGCTTGCCAACCTGCTATAAACACAGCGTGGATTTGTACACTTTTTAATCATCTTTTTCTGCAAATCGCTTCCTATTCCTTTTCAATCTTCTAAGTATTTTTCCCCCCTACTTTAAGTTTTGAAAACTCAGGGGGGAAAAAGTGCTTTGGAATTGAAAGTTCTCCAGGTATTTGCCTCTCCCGACCCTTTGTCTTATAAACGCTGAAATTTTCCAATGGACATTCCATAGGTGTTTTTTCAGGAGACAACTGGACTTTCTGTTTTTTTTTTCCTTTGAAGACATTTCGCTTCTCAACCAAGAAGCTTCTTTAGCTCTGACTAGATGGTGAGGAAGGGTTTATATTTCATGCAAACAGCTGGTCATTTGCACCCTTTTAGAGAGTAGTTGAGGCCACTTGGAGGTTCATCTGTGTCCTCTGGGTCACCTGAGTGATGCTCCTGGTTACTGTAGTCTGCAATTTTTCCCCTGGAAATCCTTTCCTACTTCCACACTATTTGAAGAGTGTCCATCCCAAATTGTATAGCTAAAAGTCTGTAGAGACTCTCAGTCATCCAAGTCATAGTTGTGCCAAAGGTGATTTTTCAGGAGGCAACTGGACTTTCTTGGATGAGCAGTGAAATGTCTTCAAAAAACAAAGAAAGTCCAGTTGCCTCCTGAAAAAGCACCTTTGGGACAACCATGACTTGGATGAATGAGAAACTCTACAGACTTCCAATGGACATGTTTTTAAAAGAAAATAATATTAAATATGCCGTACTTTAATTTTTTAAAAGCTTGAACTTATACAATTTGCTATGTTTTCAATGCAATAAATCTAAACTCTTTTCTTCCCCATGCCAGGAAAATAATTTCTAAAATAATTTTCATTTCTGGGTTGTTGTTTTTTTCAGGGAACTTTAAATTATTCATTTAGCAAGGAGAACTGTTTTTTGGCTAAAAAGTAATATGCATGGGCACACAGATACACACGTGCAAACGTATTTGGGCATTACTCCAGGTCATAACATGGTTTGTTTTGGAGGGCAGGGGACAATTCCGCTTCCACCCCAGAAAAAAGGTTCAGCAAAGGGCGAGAAGTGTTTTCATATCCACTCTTCTTCAGGTCTTTGAAATGTATACTGTAGATCTTCTTTCAAGACATATATTATCTCCTCCAGCCCCCCCAAAAGCAGCAGTTCAGTAGTTATCTAATTACAAAGTCCTCTTTAAAAAAAACCACACACATTTAATTAGGTATGAGAATTAATCCCACTCACCACAAAAGCTATCAAGCTTCTTATAGGGGATTCCCAGTGAAAGCAGCTTCGGAGGAACTGTATCGTGTTCCAAATTGCCATGGAGATCCGTTTCACCCGATCCACATTTCTTGATAAGATCTGGTGGGCAGCCCAGCCAAGGGAATGAAAATAAGGGAGAGGATGGTCAGGGTGGCAGGAGAGGTTTTAACCGTAGACTTGGCAGCCAAGATACCCCCTCCCGCCGCCAAACAGAGTAATGTGTTCATATCTGTTCTGTTCTATGTATGCATTTTACAAGTTTAAATTGTTTTCATAGTTAGATGGGTGTGTTATACCAGGCTTGGAGCACATTGACAGTTCTCTACCAATGCATCATTCCTAAAATTCTGGAAAGCAACGTGATGGGGGAAAAGGGGGCTTTCCTGATTAAGAAACCCAATGAATTCCTTATATTCAATTCTGAATCTTACATTCCTATTCAGCATTAAGCTTCTACTGGGGTGGGCAAGTGATGTCATGGAAGTCCAGAGGTTGCCTTGGCCATAATGCAAATGATGTGATTTGGATGATATCATAGCTGATATAATATCCTCTAATATCTATGGATATTATGGATATCTATCTATTCTCAATCATCCAGGTGGTCCCAAAGGGGCTTTTTCAAAAGGCAGCTGGACTTCCTTGTTATTTTTGTCTTTGAAAAGGTTTCGCTTCTCATCCCAGAAGCTTCTTCAGTTCTTCAGCTCAGAAGAGGAGTTGAAGAAGCTTCTTGGATTAGAAGCGAAACGTCTTCAAAGAAAAAACAAGAAAGTCCAGTTGCTTTTAGAAAAGCACCTTTGGGACATCCTCTGGTATCCCTGTAGTTTCTAATAGAGATCAATGTTTCTAAACCATCTCCTTGTCCTGTATGTTCATCGTCTAACAATGATCTTGAGAACTTCCATCCTGAAGGATGTGGAGATGTGGCACTTTCCAAAGAATGAGTAGAGTTATGGAATTCTGGGGTCCACAGGGTTTTGTCTAGGAGCCTCAGCATGGACATACCTTCTTGGAAAACTTGCGGTTGTCTTCCAAACTTCTCCTCTCGCGTGGAAAAAAGGTTCTGATGCTTGCTCTTATCTGAAATGAAGTAGCAACAACCACGTAACACCAGAATTCAGGGTTCCATTTAGCATTCAGCCACCACATTGACAAGCATAAACCTGGATGTCTTCTGCCAATATTCCTTTTATCTAAATACTCCTCTCCAGCTGAAACCTCCCTTGTTGAGACTGTTCTTCAGCCTTGGAGAAAAGGTCACCCAGAAACATGCCCACATGAAGAGGTTATTCAGAATAAACCATGGTTTATGGAATGGATTGCAGCTGGTCTGGGGTTTAGGCAAACTCAGTTCTGATCTCTCTCGATAAGGAAGCCAGAATCAGGAGAGAAAAACAGCAATTTCCATTTTTCAGGAAGCCATTTATTTGTTTAGGGTGGCCCAGAGGCTCTGTGGTTAAGGTGCTGAGCTTCTCAGCTGAAAAGCCAACAGTCTAGGTTAGAGACCTGAGTGTCAATTCATAAAATATTTCTATGGTCTTTTTAGAGTTGCCAACAGAAAGAAAGGGGGGAAAGGGGTTTGAAAGAGCAGAGCAGCAACTTGGAAAATGAAAGTGAATTCCATGAATAGTTTTTCAAAGATAGTAACCAGGTGACTGAAGTTTCTGCCATCTAACTGGAGAACATGACTGATGACTCTTGGCTATGGATGTGTCCCATTGGAGAATATGAATTACGATACACCCAGGGGGTGGAGGGAAAACCAGAGCCAACGGTGATAATGAATTACGTGTCTCAGAGTCAGCTACACCCAGGCAGTGTCGGACATGTTCACTCCCAATAAATCCTTTTGAAATTTTGGAAGTTTGGCTCGAGACTCATGATTTAATTGGGGTAACTGTTGGAATCCTGACACTGAGCTCCATGCGATGGGTTGAGCTCCCATCCTCACCCAGCTTCTTGCCAACCTAGCAATTCAAAGGCATGTAAATGCAAATAGATAAATAGGTACCACTACTCCTCTAAAGACCATAGACTTACAGGATTAAACAGGACTTCTATTTCCAAGTGGACCATGCCTTTCAATGGAAGTTCCAGATCTTTATTCTTTAACACGTAGCAACTTTGCTGCCCATTTTTAATCTGTAAGTAACAAAGAAAAGTGTCAAAAATAAGCTCAATAAAGCTGCTATTTATATCACCTTCAATGAATTTGCACAGCCAAAAAAGTGCAGAGAACAAGGATTAGTGGGCTGGAGATTAAAACGTATGGGGAACCATTGCAGGAACTGGCTGATCTAATGATAAGAAGGACTAGAGGTGGCATCACAAGCTGTGTTCCAATATTTAAAGGGCTGCCACAAAAAAGATGCAGTCAACCTCTTCAAAGCACCTGAAGGCAGGACAAGAAGCAATGGATGGAAACTAGTCAAGGATAGAAGCCAAGAGGCAAGTTCATGAGATGAAGAGATAGTTAGGAAGATACTAGATTGTGCAGAAGTGGATAGTTTGACATTGAAAATTAAACGGAAAGAAGATGTAGAATATTATCAAACATGGAATCTCTTTTACCAATGGTTGTAAAAAGGGGTGGAGATTAAGAATGTAAATTTGTATTGTTAAGCACAGTAAATACCCAGACCACATGGTGTTTATTAAGCACTAAGAAATGCATTTAATAGAAAATCCTTTTTTTTAAAAAAAAAGAGGCAAGTTCATTATTTTCCTACCATGAAAGGAATGCACTCAACTTCAAGCCTAAAAACTATGTGCTATGCTCTGTTCAGGCAAGTCTAACTTTGGTTGTTTCCTCAAGGTCAAGCTCTAGTGCAGAGGTCTTCAAACTTGGCAAGTTTAAGACTTGTATACTTCAACTCCCAGAATCCTTCCTCCAGTCATGTTAGCTCAGGAATTCTGGGAGCTGAAGTCCACAGGTCTTAAACTTGCCAAGTTTGAAGACCCTTGTTCTAGAGGCTGTGTTCTATTCAAGGGCCACTTCTGTTTTTGTGTGGTACATTGTGGGTCCTGTAATCCTCAAAGCACAACAGTTACCCCAAATCCAGGAGCCTTCAATTCCACCCTCCCTCCAAGTATAATCCCCATATAGATGCTGAATCTACAAAATCATAACTGGAAAAAATATTCACACCTACTTGAGAGACAAAATAAATACACATGACCAAAAATAAATGGATTCCTATAAATAGTTCGTTGTTGCCTGGAATATAAAATGTATTTCCAAGGTTCTAATTTGTTTGTTGGCTTCTGTTGTGCTAAACGGGAGGTTAGAAAAAAAAAAAAAACCAAACACCCATCTCAAACCATTTGGCTCATCAGGAAAGGTGGTTTTGGCTTTTAAAAAATACGGGCGGAAAATAGACATTATACATGGTACAATAAGGATTGATTACACATTTGGTTTCTGCTCAGTCTCCCTCCCTTTTCAACTGCAGGCCCTGCTTTTTAAGATGGGAAATAACTCGATTCAAAATAATGTAACGTGAAAGCTGTCACAGGATGGGGCGGGGGTGGGGAATTATCTCTGGCAGAACAAAATACCCAAAGATGATTTTGAAATGGCAGCCCGCATTTTAAGATGCTTTCACAAAAGCCTCCTTAAGTTTTAAGGAAGGAATATGTTAGGTTCAGCGTCACACTGAACAATTATGACTACCTGAGTTTATACAGTTTCATGACAGGTGAATCTTCAGACTGCTAATCTTCAGATCTCCCAGAATTTCCCAGCCAGCATGGCCATTGAAAACTACCTATGTGAAGGATGCTCAGATTACAGAAAGCTGTTCTAGTCTCTCCAATATGACAAATTAGAAGCTTAAGCAAGCTATTTAATAACAGAATAACAGAGTTGGAAGGGACCTGGTAGGTTATCTAGTCCAACCTCCTCCCTTCCCCCCGGTGCAAGCAGGAGTCCCTACACCAAGGGTCTTCAAATTTGGCAAGTTTAAGACTTGTGGACTTCAACTCCGAGAATTCCTGAGCTAACATGACTGGAGGAGGAATTCTGGGAGTTGTAAGTCCACAAAACTTAAAGCTGTCAAGTTTGAAGGCCCCTGGAATAATTAGAGAGAGGTAGAATAGATAGGAACAGAGATAGATAGAATAGATAGATAGAGGAAGAGAGAGAGAAAGAGAGAATAGATAGATAAAGAGAGGTAGAATAGAATAGAATAGAATAGAATAGAATAGAATAGAATAGAATA